CTGTTCATGGGCTACTCTCCCCGGGGCGTTGTTATTCTCTTCTGATCACCCTCCCATGTGAAGACGTTTTAGTTTTATTGATCAAATCAAAATCGCTACTTTATTTGATCAGGTCAGTTGTCACAAGCCAAGAGGTCGAAGAAATGGTGCTGCAGTTTTGGCTCAAACCAACGTGGGATACCCACTGCTTGGTGACCACTTCCACGGGTTGCTGCAAAGCCAGTGATAAACTCGTGTTGCGGTCGCCTTCTGTCTAGGTTTTTGCCATACCAATCTGCGGTGATTTTGCTTGCTACCACTAGCAATACTGCTGTGCACCCGCCAGTGACTGCTAGCCTCGCAGCCGTACCGACAGCCTTGTGAACAAACTGAACCAACACGGGAGACCCGTGGCTGGTGGTCAAAATGCCCCATGGAATCAAACAGGGGATATGTATGTCGTGGACCAGAAGGAAACGAACATCACCGCTGGCCTAGATTTACGAATGCCACATGCTGACCAAATCAGATTCTTAATGGTGTCTGGCACAATAGCAATTGGAGACCGTCGGGCACGATATGAGTAGTTACATATTGAGGAAGTCCCGTGGACCATATTTTCAACACTGGGTGATGCACTGGAGACTGAGTTCTATGAAGAATTTTGGCAAATTGTCAACTATAGGCGTAAAGGCAGGCCGGAATTCCTTGACGTTACGTGGATTGACACTGACTATGCATACGATGTTTCCAAAGCATACCTGGATATACGAATGTCCATTTTTGATCGCAATGGTTGCACCTTGAAGGTTGTATGTCCATTCAAGTATAATGACACCTATTTGAAAGTGCACCCCAATGGAGCCGCCGTCTACTCTGACAACAAGAAGTTTGAGTTTTTGCTGCCGTTGATTGTGCTTTCACATGACCTGCTTCCCCACCGCTCTTCTGGGCGCTGGAAGAAAAGGGAGTCAAAACCATCGGTCTGTCTGCACAGGACTTCGCTATGGCTGCATGAAGAAACCATTGAATGGCTTGCAGAGACCAATGAACCTTTTCCGCCTGAATTTCGTGACAGTATAATGCCACGACTCCAGAAGCGGTTGCCCAAATCACAGGCCAAGCCGCCTGGTAAGACACAGGCCTCTCCAGCTCCTAAAACAGTGAGATGGTAAAAGCGCCCCACCGTGGAGACCGACAGGCAACCTGCGCGAGACCCAGATACCAGAGAAGCGCAGCCAGCGCAATCCACGACCACGGACCTAAATGATAGTGAACGCTTGTACCTGCAGATACAAGCAAGCTATGCGGACATGTGCCAAGCCTCCAACCCCACCGGTCGACCGCCGATTGACCAACAATCGAAAGTTGGGGATGCTGTGACCAGCCATGACAAGCACGCTCAAGCGTCAACAGTTCCACCGCCTGACGCTACTATGCATTCAAAGCAGGTGACTACTGACTCAGCAGATACCACCGTACCTGCAACAGAACCAAATGCTACTGACTGGCTGGAGAAGAAGATTGAGGCACAAACGTTGGCGGATGTCAGACCTGCCACTCCACCAGCGCCCGCAGCACCTGATCCAAAAGAGGTTACCCCGGAGACCGGTGAGCTTTCCTCAGTTAAACCAAGCGACGCTTCTGACCAGGCCACGCAGGGAACGTCAGCTAATCTGCACCCACCTGCCTCACCCTTTCAAATTCCAATGGAATTGTCTCCAACTGAATCTCCGGAGGCATCAGTTGCCACTGCAGTCATTGAAAGTAGCCCGGAGCAGGAAGAAGGAGACGACATCACACAGCTAGACTTGGGTGAACTCACAGCTCGCCATTTTGCAGCACTGGCGGAAGTGCAGCAAAAATCTCAGGAATTGTTTGAGGCGCAAAATAGAGCATGGCGCCTCACCAAAAGGATGAGAACAATGCAGACTGCTCAAGCAAGCCTGGTGCCTCACGCAGTGGCGAGGCTAGACATCCCAATGGAGAGGTGTGACTAGAATGGCCAATTATGACGGTGCATGGCAGCACTCTCAAGGTAGACAACATCCTCATTGTCATCCTACATTTGCCCTTTAGATCTGCTTGCGATTGACAGGAAAACATTGACCGTGCTGCGCAGCTCCACAGCGTTCCAATTTGTTGGTTAGTCAAACTTGTCTGTAGTATGTAGGCGCCACATTCTAGGAAACAAACCAAACAGTACTATTCCATGAGCAATCAATCCACATCGTTGTAATATTGAAAAGTTTCACAAATCTATTTAGGCCAAAACCATGGAAAGTTGTCTCTGTCTTATGAACGAGATGTAGCATGTACAATCAGAACTATACCCCACAAGATGTTGATGGTTAGTGAACTTTTTCTCACCGTCACCCACCTGCAGCTATAAAGGCTCAACTGGGCATCGCCTAGTATTGCCGTCTAGCTACCCGTTTTTCAAGGTATAAGATATATTTGGTAAGGTTCACAGCTTTTTGTAAGCGGAACTGGGCATTCAAGGGAGAGCCGACGCCGGAGACCGGCAGCTCGGCTGTGCCCCAGGTGTGCTATTGTATTCCCTATTAGTTGTGATATCTTCCAAGGACCCACTGTGTTGCCAAGTGAAGCTTTCTGCTCCCCGACGCCGGATACCGGTTGCTCGAGGGTTGTGCCTTTTCACCAATGATTCAACAACTCCGAGTAGGGAACAGATTTCACTCCTTAGCAACAGATGATCCTGACAATTCGGACACCGACACTGATCAGACACCGAATACTTCGATGCCACTGACGATGCACTGTATTTTCAGGCAGGAACCGACCCACCGCCTCGTGAGCAATGGGATGTAGCTGTAGCTCCCCCTGTCAATTTCAGCGATCTGCCAGGCATTGCAAGGCTCATCCACCAGATCGATGAGGCGTTTCAATCAACCAGAGAGATTGCAACCCCCTTTGGTATGGATGACACAGGTCAGACATGGGGGTGGTCAGGTGTCGGGTCATGCCATATGCCTCGGGCACCACCAGTTCTAACAAGTAAGCATTCATTAGCTACAGCTTGAGGAAGCGAGCAATTCACTGACATACAAACTGACCAAATAAACATATACATATATATATATACATAAACATAAAACCAAACAAACCAAAAACACAAAACTGGAAACAACTGTGACCAAACCAAAAACATCAAAACACTCGCAAACTCAAACAATGGATTTGCGGACATGTGCACTGCCACTGAAACGAAATACGCCGGATCCCCTTTTGCTGTTTTTCCATTGCCAGTAAGATGTGGTAGCTTCACATCAGAAGTCAGTTGGATCGATGGATCATTTCACCCAAATTAAACTATCGAAACAAGGACTTCTTGAACGCCAAAAATAACCCCTTCAAAATAGTGTGAATGAAGGACTGGCAGTGGAAAAAGAAAGGAATCAAAATCGTGAAACTGGAAGTTTCCAAGCCACTTTGGATCCCTTTGGGAATACAGTTGTTCTTCAAGGACTTTCATTTGTTTGAGATAAGATCTAGAAACCGCAAACGAAACGCAAACAAACTAAAAACACAAAACACAACTGAAACTTCAATCCTCCCGCTTGACCATGTCTCGCTTCCGATCTCAAACGCACTCCCTTTTCATCTGCTGGATGGTTTGTCCCACTGTTGGATCAGGTTTGGATTCGACCATACTTCAATCGAAACCATTTGACCAGATGGCATCAACAACCCATTCGGGTCAGATGACACCAGCGATGCACCATTGTGCATTGTCATAGATGCAGTCACAATATTGAACGTGACATTACGTCACTCCGCTCTGAAGTGCAACGCACTGTAATGAAACATGAGCACAAAGGCTTCATAGACGAAACAGAATTCGGAGCGCCAATAGAAGAAAAAGGGTGAAACTGCGAGATCAAACTGTTGACACAACATTGGGAAAGAATTGAGAACAGGTGAGGGCGGGAGGGAGGGAAACGAAAAATGTATACGCACAAATGAAAGTCCTTGAGCCAAAATGGAATAGAAACACAAAGAAGTTCCTTGCAAAACACAATGAACAAGTACATTAAACGTTCTTCAAGGACTTTCATTTGTTTGAGATAAGATCTAGAAACCGCAAACGAAACGCAAACAAACTAAAAACACAAAACACAACTGAAACTTCAATCCTCCCGCTTGACCATGTCTCGCTTCCGATCTCAGACGCACTCCCTTTTCATCTGCTGGATGGTTTGTCCCACCGTTGGATCAGGTTTGGATTCGACCATACTTCAATCGAAACCATTTGACCAGATGGCATCAACAACCCAAACAACAACTATCTGGTATAATGGTTATCGCCCAAACACGCCCAAACCAGAAGTGAGAACCATTCCAGCAGATCACATCGCAAGAGGATGTGGGAGTTTCCAAAGGAGTTTCGAATCAGGAGGATGCAATGTTGGGTGAGGTGAACAACGAAATAATTGATTGAGTGAAAGATGAATCCTTTCACTTGGTTGAAAATCATGTGGAATGGGAGTGGAAAAATCCCATCGGCTCAGATCATCCGCTATGACATTGTCCGCGCCAGGAATATGGCTCACATCCAATTCAATACCCGTTGTCGAAGCCAGGCACGTGAGGATCTCGACAAAGAGACATAGAGGATGAGTCGTAGTGAATAATTTGTTGCTCACACTCTCTGCTCCCGTATTGTCGCTCAAAGATTTCACGCAAATGGGAATACGAAAACCAGGAAAAGATGTGGCCACCAGCCAAACTAACGCAATTTGGGCTAAAGTTTCAAATGAAGCAATGCTTCGTTGCATATTTGGGTCTAAATGAATTGACAAAATGTCAAAATCTGCATGGGAAAATTTTTCAGAAAACCAAAATTGGACGCCTGAATGATGACGGATGAAACCTCCAATTTGGCAGTAGGAACCCGATGCACATGCATCGGCTGCCGCAATGCCATTCCAATATGGCTTCGCTCTCATTGGTCGAGATGGAGAAACACCCATCAGCCAATGGTCAAATAACTTCAAAATTCAAAGAGAATCAGGACGAAGCTTGCGTTTGGAGGAATTCGGATTGATAATTCGTAACCAAATCCTGTTCTCTGTTTTGATATGTAACGACGTCAGATCCGCCAATGAGGATACTGCTTGATGTCGAACTGCGATGAGCTTACCTGAAATAGGTATAGCGGAGCCCAAATGTGCTGTATGAAAAGTCAAAGTAGGGGTTAAATATTGATGAATGCGAGGCCATGTACCAGCATCAATACTGAAATGTGTCGCCGGGATGGTGTAGAGGTCGTGGTACCAATAGTGGATCCAGATCCGCATGAGTGGAAATAATTGAGTAATCCACATTGCCAGGCCAATGAGTTTTTCCAAAGACTTACGAGTAGTTCGTGGTTGGGAAACAAGATGTTCGATGTACCCTCGGAGTTTGAGGATCTTTTCAATGGGGATTGTCACAATACCTGCATTGAAATTGAATTTCCAGCCAATATAGTCAATGGAAGAGTGCATGGCTGTCTTCTTCCAGCTGATAGGAATTTCCAAAAGTTGGCAGAAAATACACAGCAATGTGGCCGACAGCGGCATCATGTTGGCTTCCATAAAAAATAAGAAGTCATCCACATATAAAAATCCAGCGTGACTCAACCAGATCAAGTGGTGAAATATACGGAGAAGGAGTCCACCCAATCTCGCCCACCAAAAGGCAGAGAAAACTGCACCAAATGGGGTAACTCTATAGAAGAAAAGCTGCCCTTCTAGCGAAAAGCCAACCAGTCCGCATTCGTCTGGATGTAGAACTATTCTTTTATGAGCGGCTTTAACGTCTAAAGAGAAGCCCATCAGATTCCTCTGACACTGACGTAGAGGGTAGCTACGTAACACCTCCTTGGCAGTCGGGAGGGCGGACCTCTCCGGAATGATACACCGACCATTGAGGCCGCATACGCTGGAGTCCACAACTAATCGGGGGGCTCGACTATCCGATCGAGCCACTCCCAATTTTCCAATAGCAACACCGGCCGGATATTCTTGTTGCGCTTCTTCCAAAGAACCTTTATACGCAAAAACCCAACCCTTGTCAATTTCCTCCTGAACCAGTTCTCGTGTTAATGGTAGATCTTCTTCAGCGCTCTGCCAGTTGGAGAGGTGGGCTGACAATGGATCGGGTTCTATATCCGCACGTTCTTTAGGTGGAAAAATACCCGACGGAGGAATCGCCGTGGAAAAACCGGTTCGGACACCTTCTAATAGACTGGGTAATAATGTAAAATCGACGTCGTGCATAATCTTCTGTAAAGAGTGTAAAATATGAAGATGTATTGGCTGATGTTGTCGAACTGACCAATCTGGTGGATGTCCCTGTGCCTCCAAGAATTTCTCCAGATCATCCTTGAATGGGGTCAGAATCTCCATCGAAAACGGTGGTGAAGGGTTGCCCGACGCCACATGAGCCAGTAGGATCTTATCCAATCGCTCAGAGATGATCCTGTTCATCCACGAAGTACGGAGCGTCTTGAACCAGTCATGTTCTTGACGATTATCCTGACTCCAGTCCGGGTGGGAAAAAGCTCCACCCCCATCTATTTGTGCAAATGGATAATCCGACAGGTGCTTGGTGGGCATGAGGGCATCCAGAGAGGACCATTGTAGGTCCAACGCTGATGTGTCCAGTAATGGGGCCACAAGATTTGCAAATAACTGTGCCAGTTTCTGTGGGTATTGTGCCGTCGCCCTACTGGCAAAAGCACCAGAATCGTCTCGGAGACCTTGAAGACGAATATGAGAATTAGGGGGATGTTGACAAATGCAGCCTAATGGTCAAAGACCTGTAAAACTCGAGGCAAACATCCAAGCTTTGTAAACATCCATTTCGTAGGCGCAAGCTGCCACGTTGATACAGGAAGCCCCAATCAATTGCAGAAATTGGCGTACTACCTTCTCTAACCATGACATGGCGTTCAAGGGTTGTTCAAGGTGGACATGCCCGCCTGCTTGAAAAACCAGGGTGAGGACCTCCACGCAGCGAGAGAGCATCATAAAGCTCTCTTGGACCCGTTGCAGTTCCCAGGGTGTAAGATTAGGCAGACCGGACAAGTGTTCCGGTGATCGTAGAGCTTTGGGACCGTCATCATCTCGAAGTTTGAGTCTGCTGTATTCACAGCAGGAAGGGCTGGCCGCTCCATAACCTACCTGACCACTGGATGCAACCCGCAATAAGTCCTCATAGGCCGCATCTGATAAAATATCCATAGAAGAATCCAATAAAACATCAAAAGAAAGAACTGAATGGCCATGCTCCAATACAGCTGTCGATAACGGACGTGTAACACCTGAACATACATCGAGAAAGAATTTGCCTGATGGAACTGCTTTTAAAACTGAAGTTGAAACGGTGGGTGGAATTGACGTAGAGGAAACCAAGGGTTCCGCTGTGGCATGGATGGTGGCAGTGATATCTGTTTCCGCATTCGCCTGCTCGGGTTGGGGCAAACGGCCCGGGGTAAAACTATCAATAGGTGGAGCGAAGTCTTGAACTGGGTCCACATCATGCACTGGGAGGGTCTCCACGGAGTCAACCTCATTGAATGGATCATGCATGGTGAAACCTGGATCACGATCCCCTTCGGGGAGTCAGTGAGGGGTGGCAAAGTGGGACATCGCCCCATGATTTTTGCCACAGGCTTTTCCATCAACTGGGTACGCACACAAATGCTGGAAGCCACAGTTGGGATTCTGACACTTGCCCACCTGATATCGCATGCATAGTTGCTTGAAGCCACCATCCCGTTGAATCTCCGTGAGCCATTGAACCTTGCCCTTGGATTTCCCGGAATTCCGCTTGCCCTTTGACTTCCCTTGGCCTTTGCCTTTCGGTCCATCCCCACGAGGGGAAGCTGTCTGTGAAGATGGTGATGGGAGTGGCTTGAGCACGCGAGGTCGTGGCTGAAGGAGACTTGGCAGGTCATGACGTAAATTCGTCATTTCATGCAAGCAATCATCCATGTTCCATCCTCGTTCCATGAGCTCGGCAATGACTGTCCAAATTTTTTGGTCCGCATGTTGAGCCTCTAAAACACTGGGGTTACGTAAATCTCCATCATACTTGGCGGTCAAAAACCCGAGGAATTTGTGGGTATAGGCCTTGAGATTGGCTAGGTGAGCTCCTTGGCACAAGGCGATGGCCCGATCATGAACCTCAAGCATATTGCGAATTGAGTTCACCCCCATGGCGTTGTTGGACACGTCAATTGAAGGAGGATCATCAAACAACAAGGAGTGGAGCCCCAAGTGGTCAATTTTTGGCATCTTCTGAGCTCGATTGCTAGAGATCTCTTCTGACCTGGTGAGCGAGAGGCGATACTTCCATGGCACCCACTTCCAAACCTTCTTGGAGAGCTGGTCATGAACTAGGCTCACTAATCTGGTCGACGGAAAAAGGTCCGCATGGATCAACTCGGATGGATAGTTGGCCATGAATTTTTGTTTCATCGCCTGCAACACGGCATTCTCCAATTTGGGAGGAAAGGCTTCTGCCCAAGACCCTGCTGGCGTGGTAGTGCTCAATGTCGGGGTTGAGAGAGCCGATGCACTGGGTCCTTGTTGAGGTTGGAGTGACTGAAATGCCGTGCGGAGGCAAGCCTTTTGGAATACCGACAGAGGAGTAGAAGATGACCATTCCTGGAGAACGTCTTCAAATCCTTGAATGTCAGCTGCTGCCATGCGAAACGATTGACAGGTCCACCCCTCCATCATGAGTGAGCTCGTGAGGGCCGAGTCCACCCCACTCTGTATCAGAACATCTTCCAAGTTGTCAGACGCCATGGCACCACCACGTAAACGAAGGAGAAAATCGCGTAGGATCAACGAACCCCAAACAATATCCCATATGTTGGGGGAAAAATAGAAAATTGAAAGAAAACAAACTCGTGACAGCGCCAGTGAATAATTGACCAAAATTGAAGGGGTGGAAACGCCATAGCTAAGCCCCTAGACTCCGTGCGTGAGTCGCACAACTGATTTTTAACCCACCGGGTTCACTGGAGCCATCACCGACGGCAACCATGACGATATGTCACGTCACTCACACCGTGAGTGCAGCTTCAACCACCGGTTGAAAAAACGATGAATTGACCACCGGTCAGTTTAAGGCTCACACCGTGAGCTAATAACCTCAACCACCGGTTGAGACGCTGAATGACCACCGGTCATTGTGATACTCACACCGTGAGTCTATAGTCAACCACCGGTTGAATATAACATGACAACCTGTCATTTCAACTCACACCGTGAGTAACCCTTCAACCACCGGTTGAAATGTGATGCCAACACCGTTGACATGTTAGGGGATACCATCCCCTATTGTAAAAAGAATCTGAATCCCTCCCCGAGTAAAAAGAGGGAAAAAAATCTCAAAACGTACACAACATGAACAACTCGGTAAACCCTACCAGGGAAAACCGACTGCACCTAACAGGTCACCGACCCGTTGGAAACAACTCCAAGCGCAAAATTTTTCATACCGCTTGGAATGGGACCTATCCAGATCCTTGCAGGAGCTGACAATTGTGCCAAACCTTCCTGCACGCTGCATGCTGGCAGAACGGCATAGTAGAATCGAGTCTATCCAAGATCTCGGCTTCCACACCACGCATTTGCCTACCACAGGCAGGTTTGAGAGGCTGTCCTTGCCACCGAGGACGCCAATCTTCATCATCGCCGGCACGCACTAATGCATGAACAACTGCCCGATATCGTCCCACCAGGACTTCATCGACGTCCAAAGGTACAACGTCCACCTTGGAAGTCTTGGGTCGAGGCTCCATAACCTCTTCATCCGACGATGAATCCGATGAACTCTCAGAACTGCTGGTTGAGGACTCCAAAAAATCAGGAGGTTGTGTCTCAGATGACTCATTGAATTGAAACCACTGAAAATCAAACTGTGGGAGAGATTTAACAAATTTCTCCAAAACAACCTTGGGTTCGACCATAGGAGCCTGACCCCCCCGATGTTGTGCAATGGCTGGACGCCATCCACCCTGAACCTCTTGTATCATCTTGCGCTGATACGTCAAGGACGTCCACACCACGTCACGTGAGTATGTGTCCAAACTGCTATTGGGATCAGAATGGTGTCCCTGAGACAAACGCTGTTCAGGGGTAACCTTCTCATGCAGCTGTGGTCCCCACGACAATAGCGTCGCTTTGAGGGAGTGCAACGTGAAGTTCAACTTCAAGTGCTGCAAGGGGTCTGGTCGTTGACTCCAGGGGCAACCCAAAAATTTCCGTAGGTAAAATAACGCTGTAGCATAATCCATCGGTTGCAATGGATAAACTGGTCCATCCTCATCCATCAGTGGAAGAAGAAAATCAACATCGGAGAGGCCTGATTTGGCCAATACCGTATCTAAAACCGTCAAGAACTTCCACAACCAGTTGTGGGAGCCTTTGCTGAGGAAACCCTCCGCCGCCACTGCTAGGGGCATGCCGCTGACTGCTGTCTTGGAGCGCCATATCACCCCTCGCATGGTACCATCGTGATAGATGATCTTTTGGAGGTCTAACCTTTGCGCGTCGGAAAAACGAAGGGATCCCCATGCCATCAATAAAAATGTACCCAGTAGAATGATTTCTAATACTGTGCAGTTGGACATGAGCACACGACGCTCCCACTGCACCAATGCCCACAGAGGCAGAGGAGGTGCTTGTTTCCTGTCCCTGGGCACCTTCTGGTTCAGAAAGGTTCCAATAAGTACTGAATGCACCACCTGTAAACATCCGACCTCTGCTGATTTCAACAGCCATCGAAGCGCTTTGATGACCGAACTGCAAGAACTACTGCCATGAGATGTAGATCTCAACAGTGACATTGTGATTAAAATGTCTGCCAATTGAACCTCAGTAATGGATACCAAATCCACCTGTAACGCTTTGCAGGTCTTGAAAAAGGACTTGCAACTGGAAATATACTTCATAGCTGTGCCCGGTGCCACATTGTCCAAAATTCGGTTCAAATGCATACGTTGATGCTGCGACATACTCGTCTCTTGCCAAATTCTGGATAGTGGGCCCAGCTGTGATAACAATTCGAACCACATCTGACAGAGCACCGGTGAAGCACTGGAAAAACGAACTCTGCTAATAGCCCCTGGGTGACGTCTGGGAGGATGCAGTAACGCTGGAGAGGGCCGATTAGGCACAAAATCAACTGGTACTGACTCTGAATAACCCAAACATCCTTGAGGCTGAGGTAGTGCAACTCTCTGTTGCAACGTCGTCCAGCTCCGAATCACAGGTAAATTCTGTGGGGGAATTTGCAAAGGGGTAACCCCAGGTACAATGCGAATGGAATCAACAGGAAATGGTTGGGGGGGAGGAACATTACCCCCCTGGTTTAAATCGGAAACCCTCAAAATACCTGGATGTCGCTGAGCTGAAGACTGTCCCGAGCCCCCCATAGCGCTCGTGACCACCGGATGCAATGCAGACACTTGGAATGGAGACACCAGGCGAGGACCTTGATGTAGAGGTGCACGCTGCAATGGAGCAGATTTCGGCCTGGATTGCAACGGCGGTGAAATCACTGAACTCGTGTCCCATGGACCCTCAACACTCTGTACCAATGACCAACCATCCATGGAATTATCCATCACGCCAATGCCGATGTGTATAGCAACTATGCCCCGTATGACCAGGCTTTGCACGTCCACAGGGTAAATCACACCAGCGACACTTTGCACCACACGATCCACGTTCGGGGATGGGTGACCCTGAAGGATTTTCCAAATCAGGTGTAGTTTGTAATGGTACAGATGATCCTGAAGATAAAGGGATACGAAATCGATGGCACAACTCGTTGACAATGAGGAGAAGTGCAGCAATCAACTGTTCTAGTGATAACACCGAGACCGTCGCTCCGTCCATGCCGCCCGGGACCGCCCGGTGTCTGTGAATCAAACCGAAAAAACATGAAACTCTGAAAATATCTGCATGACAGGAAAAACGCAACTGATCAGTGTCAATGCCTGCTACCAATGTCCAAAAGAAAACTGTTGGCTGAGCAGGCAAAAACGAAAAATGTATACGCACAAATGAAAGTCCTTGAGCCAAAATGGAATAGAAACACAAAGAAGTTCCTTGCAAAACACAATGAACAAGTACATTAAACATTTATAAATCAAATTTTGAATATATCTTCAAAGTTTAAAATATTTGCTTTAAAAACTTGGAATTTCCAAGTCAAAGTTTTAAGATGTTTCTATTCAAAGTTTATTCAAAGTTTGAATTTAATATTCAAAGTTTACTTAAAACTTTGAATGTGAGATTTTAAAGTTTTATTTAAACTTTGAATCTAGTCTTTTAAAGTTTGAAACAAACTTTAATCAAACTTTAAATGCAACCAAACATTTTTTTAAACTTATTGATGCAAAAAATGATTTTTTCAAGAAAAGTGAATCTACTTATTTCTTTGCACTCATGTTTGCAGAGTGATAACTAATAAAAATGATAAAACATATATTTTAATTTATCTGCAGAGACTGTTGGTTGAAAAAAATCCAATTTGATCCAGCCTTCTGCGCAACATCGTCTCTGCAGTAGACAACGCTCTTCTGGCCACTTCGAGCTCACCCTGAATGTCGCGAAGCCACTCTTCATGACATTCTTTCCTGAAGATCAGGAATATTGAACTCGAATGGAAGTGATATCAATGACAATGGAAATGGGAAAGAGTAAGTGAGACGGACATGGAAACGGAAACGAATATGTCTGGCCTGGTCCTCTGTGTCTTTTGCTTTTTCTCCTTCTTTGCCTTCTTGTTCACATATGGCCTGGCGAACGCGAAGCAGCATTATATTGTTGAGACATGACAGATTTCCAACCTGATGGATGCTTGGCTTGGAGAGCGCGTACGTGATCTGGTACGACTTGCCCGGGTCCTACAAAAGAAAAAAGGAAGGTCAGATCGAACGATGAAGGACAGCATAGAAACTGATCTCCTGTCATGGTCTGCGGGATCTCCAGGGCGCTTCGTTTGAGGTAGCTCCTGTCAAGAACCGAAATCATTAGGAAGCTCATGGACATGCTGTCGATCGTGCGGTCCTGGGGGGATAGCAATGCAGCTCGCAGGGCAGCATCCTCATCCACATCAGGGACACCATCGTCAGCACGTCGAGGGGGACCCGCTGGTTCAGCAGGTCGAAGAGTGGACACACTAGATGTTCCTGGGGCCGGAGTGCTAGGTGGAATTTCATCCGGAATGATACCAAGACTTTGTCGGAGTTGTTCTGCGAGTTGTTCCAGAGCTGCTTGATCGTAGGCGCAGTGTTGAGGCCGCTGGACAACTACAATTGCACCAGCCGACTCCTGAATTGTCAAAACTCAGGAACATGAAGGGACCTTGCAGTGACGAACACGGACAAGAAATCAAACACTTGACACGGAAACGGACACACGCCAAGCCTTGCAGGGTCCAGGTCTTTTGCCCGTATAGATGCCAATGATTTTCAGCCAATCGAACCACCACCATGCATGCTCCAACTTCGTCGTCTTCAGCACTGCATAGCCTCCTGTCTGGAACCCTTTGTTGACGACCTCCACGTCATAGTGTTTGACAGATTCATAGATTTGCTCGAATGTGCCAGGAGGAGTGTTTTTGCCTCCCATCCATACCTTAGCAAACGTGGATTCTCTGAGTGGGGGTTATTTACATTGTAACTGCAGACCTACTGCAGCCTAGATACAACATACTTCGTTATGGAAGGCTGACCAGCCGACATCTTCGGCTTTTCACCCGCCATGGTGGCAGACTTGGGCGCCGCTTGAGAGATAAATGGCGAAAAGATACATGCAATCGAATCTGTAGTTCGTACACAAGAAAAAATTGCGAGCGCTCAGACGTTACGCGGTTGCATTTGTTGTTGTTGTTGTTGGTGGTGGTGGTGGTGGTGGTGGTAGTTCCTGGTTACCAGGACGTTGTTATTGTTATGTTGTTGTTTCCAGGACAAGGAAACAGAAACAGAAACGGACAAGAAATGAAAAAGGACATGGAAACAGAAACAGAAACGGACAAGAAATGAAACTGGACATGGACACAGACACAACTGTGTCTTTTGGCTCTCCATGTTCTTTGCCCAACTCTGAAGGATACGTCCTATCTAAGCAGCAAATGGTTTTCCAAAGTACTTTCGACTGAGACGGACCAGCTCGAGGCGACCAAGGAAGTATAGTTTTACCCCATAGCGCTAAGCGCCCGCAAGGTTTCTTGAACCTCGACTAGACCGGACTCCATCTTGGTCAACATGTCCTTGACGTCGTTGAAGTCCGCAGTTCCAACCATCTTGACGTGTTCCAACTTGGTCTGCAAGCTGAACAAGCGATCGGTCAGCTGCACCAAGTGTTGACGCAATTGTCGCTGCGCGTCCCCCTGGGGACCTTGGCTGAATTGCTTTCGAGCTTGCTCACGTGCTTTGGTCCACCAAGTCAAAGCTTCATCGATCTTCGTCAACACCGCAGTAGTCAAGACTTGTTGATCGGCGATATGTAAGGCACCCATACCGCGGCCCAACGATTCATTCGTCAAGGCCAAAGTGGTCGGAGCCTTTGTCTCGGCGCCAAAAAGCGTCAGGGTAGGGCTGGTCTGCTGGTTGGACAAGTTGTTGTCACCTAGCGCTAGAAATATTAATAGCAGAAACAAAAAACAGAACCACCTGAAAACCAAACAATATGGCTTGCAACCGTGGGGCTGAGACTCGGACGGAAATTGCTCACAAACGCATTCATAAACTTGAACGCATCGTCAGAAACGTCCGTTCCTTTCTCAGCCTGAGTGGTGCTTGCAGCCTCTGTGCTTCTTGTCAACTCGATGGTGTTGAAGACGTAGAAGACACGGCCAGCTTGCGTGGTTTGAGACCCTTCACCATCCGCCATAGCCTTCTGCAAAGCTTGTTCGGAACCAAGCTTCGAAATCATCAAAGACTTGGGCATACCGACTGCCCTCTGGGAACCTTTGGTTTTCTCCGTGTAAGTAGACAGCATTTTCACAGCCTGACATTCCAAGTTGAAGGTGTAGGAGCCTTTGGAATCTTTCTGTACGGCTTGGTTTACCAACTGAGTCTTCTTCTCTCGGTTCAAATCTTTCCCTTGGAAAGCTTTCTGCACCTGCCACACACAAAATGAAAAAAAAAACGGGGAAATTATTGGAAAAAACTTGGAGGAAACAAGACACGGACACAAATGATTGGGCCTCCTCCGGCAACTTGGAAAAGTTTCTGTGAAAGTAGCCGGCTTTAGCGTAGTCTCGAGTTTCTTTGGCTTTGTCCGCAGTCTCGGTGCTGGCTTCCACACCAGGGTCAGGTGTCTCTTCCTGCGGCTCTTCGATTTTAAGCTTCTGTGCCTTCTCCTGGTCCTTCTTCTTAGCCTTGTTTGTGCTTTTATTCGTTTCCTCGTCACCCTTGCTTGGTTCCACAGAAGGGCCTGCAACCTCTGTCGAGTCATTGTTTGAAGCTGGACGCTTCAGAGCCTTGGCTTGCTTGACCGTCTTACGTTGGTTCTCATCCCTGCGAGCTGCTGGGCGCTTGAGTGGAGTCTTCTCAGGTGTCCTGGTTTTGGAACTGCACTTTGGGCTGGCCTTTGGCGCCCCCGCAAGTCTTTCAGCGTCAGCTAAAGCCTGCTTCTCTGAAACTTTGGACGGTGTCTCGGCCGCCATGATCAGATTTATATCCTTTTTTGTGATCCTTGAACCAAAAACCCTAATATAACATACTATCCCAAAAGACATTTGGTAGATATTCTATTTACAATAGCCATATGCCCGCACATGTCTATTGAACAAGATCTCAAGAAACATTGTAAACCATGACCCGGCTTGAGAAAGACATGGAAACAATTAACACATTTTAAACATAAAACAACAGAAAGAGGAAATGGAAACGAAATGGAAACGGACACTGGAGACGGAAACGAAAATTGAAACGGAAACTGAATGTTCAGCACTTTTTCTGCCACCTCATGTCACGCTGCTTAGTCCAAGTCTAAATTGTCGAATTCCAACGGCATTCGTGCGCCTTCCAACACGCGATACGCTTCTATGCGCTCCACCGCCTTGCCATCAGTCATCTTGGCCAGCAGATCCTTCACCATGTCCACCACGGGGTTAAGCTCTCTTGGAATTTGGTTCTTTTTCTCATCTACCTCTAACTTCTGCAAAGCGTCCGTGAGAGCACTGATCATCTTGTTTTTCCATTTTTCGATTTTGGTAGGAGACTTCGCTTGACCTTCTTCGCTTGACGACTCATCACTCAAGAAATCTTCCAACAACATCGGAACCGGTTGAGTCTGGACGCGGTCAGCAGCTGATTCATCTATCACCAGACTCCCGTCAGGTGCCACAGATGCTGAAACTCCGTAGAACAGCTGGTTCGAACTTTGGGCAGCCATGACGTGAACAGAAACTTGATGCACCGATCTTTTTCGATCGATAATCGAAAATTTACAAAATAATTTGAACCGAGCCGCGGACACGCAACAAGAAAACCCAGTTTTATGAAACGGAAACTGGAAACAAGGACATCGCAATTACAAAAATGACAAGAAAAAACACGAAAACGAAACATGAGAACCACATGGGAACAATAAAAAAAATCATCCAATGTAACTGTTGACATTAAAAAACAAAACGTTCAATTATACGATATATATTGAAAATACTTCCAAAATTATCAACATATGTTCTTCATTCCCTGATAATAGACTATCACCAAATCTGTGATAACCCCCGTAAAGACTATCATAAAATGATGATAACCTAGACTATATCCTGTCTATTAATAACCTAACCGGATCCTAGGGGACGCCAGGGCGTACATCCAACCCCTTGGCAGTGCACATTGTCCCACGCCTGCCACGCAAAAGCGGCGGAGCCCCAAGGGACGCCAGGGCGTACATCCAACCCCTTGGCAGTGCACATTGTCCCACGCCTGCCACGCAAAAGAGGCGGAGCCCCAAGGGACGCCAGGGCGTACATCCAACCCCTTGGCAGTGCACATTGTCCCACGCCTGCCACGCAAAAGCGGCGGAGCCCCAAGGGACGCCAGGGCGTACATCCAACCCCTTGGCAGTGCACATTGTCCCACGCCTGCCACGCAAAAGCGGCGGAGCCCCAAGGGACGCCAGGGCGTACATCAGACCCCTTGGCAGTGCACATTGTCCCACGCCTGCCACGCAAAAGAGGCGGAGCCCCAAGGGACGCCAGGGCGTACATCAGACCCCTTGGCAGTGCACATTGTCCCACGCCTGCCACGCAAAAGAGGCGGAGCCCCAAGGGACGCCAGGGCGTACATCAGACCCCTTGGCAGTGCACATTGTCCCACGCCTGCCACGCAAAAGCGGCGGAGCCCCAAGGGACGCCAGGGCGTACATCAGACCCCTTGGCAGTGCACATTGTCCCACGCCTGCCACGCAAAAGCGGCGGAGCCCCAAGGGACGCCAGGGCGTACATCCAACCCCTTGGCAGTGCACATTGTCCCACGCCTGCCACGCAAAAGCGGCGGACCCAAGGGACGAAATGCACATGAGTGAGTGAGTGTGTGCGTGAGTGTGTGTGAGTGAGAGTGAGTGAGTGAGTGTGTGAGTGTGTGTGTGTGTGAGTGAGAGTGAGTGAGTGAGTGTGTGAGTGTGTGTGTGTATGTGAGGAGGGAGTGAGTGAGTGAGTGAGTGAGTGAGTGGGTGGGTGAGTGGGTGAGTGAGTGAGTGAGTGTGAGTGTGAGTGTGAGTGTGAGTGTGAGTGTGAGTGAGTGTGTGTGTGAGTGAGTGAGAGTGAGAGTGAGTGTGAGAGTGAGAGTGAGAGTGAGAGTGAGAGTGAGAGTGAGAGTGAGAGTGAGAGTGAGAGTGAGAGTGAGAGTGAGAGTGAGAGTGAGAGTGAGAGTGAGGGTGAGGGTGAGGGTGAGGGTGAGGGTGAGGGTGAGGGTGAGGGTGAGGGTGAGGGTGAGGGTGAGGGTGAGAGTGAGAGTGAGAGTGAGTGT